TTCCTCGCAAGTTTGCAAGAACAGGTGTTGAAGAACCCTGGCATTGGAATTCGGGTTTTGTCACGTGAAATGAATGTTGCAGCCTCTACTATGAAGCTTGCATTCAATGAAGACCTTCGCTACTACTCATACAAGCGCCGCAAAGGTCAGCTACTCACAGAAAAGGCCTGTGAAAAATGTTTGATAAACGCGAAGAAACTTCTAGACAAAGTGAAACATCCTGTAGAACCACAAACAATCTGGTTCTTTTCCGATGAGAAAAACTTTTGCCAGGATCAAAAACACAACACGCAGGTCACAACTTGTGCAGCCAAAAGGAGGAGGACTGCTCCAATCACACAAGGTTTGTATATAATTCTTCATTAAGGTCGACCATCACATTTAAGTAACTGAAATATTATATTTTACTCTTTAACAGGTCCTTCTTGCTCTAAGCAGTTGTTCAAAGATTCAGCTGTAGTCACCGCAAAGGATCTTGCTCAAGTTCAACTAAATACAGGATTGTCAAACAGTGGAATAAAAAAACTGACTTCCACCATTAGGCATGTTTCTTCTGCCAAAGTTCTGGAACCAAATATATTACACAAGTTCCAGGATCTCGGAAAAAGTCTAGAAGAACACTTTACACAAACCCCAACAACATTCATTAGTTCAGATCAAAAGAAGTCTCAAAGTGTTGTTGTCCATTGCAAAAATCTCCAAGCACTCACTGAAGAAGTTCTACTTTCAAGGACAAGTACTTTCAAAACACATCATTAAACTTGGAATAGATGGTGGTGGAGGTTTTCTTAAAGTCTGCCTTGGAGTTATACAAAATGAAGCAGATAGTGAAGCTGTGTCTCTGCCAAACAAAAGATTTCTGACATCTTCAACGTCCAAGGATTCTGGAGTAAAACAGCAACTTCTGGTTGCAGTTGCTGAAGGAGTTCAAGAGAATTACTCCAATGTAAAGCTCATTCTCTCTCTCATTTCAATCAGTGAAATCAACTTTGTTGTCTCGTGTGATATGAAGTTGGCAAATATAATTTGTGGATTGCAATCACATGCTTCAGCTCATCCATGCACATGGTCCACTGTGGAAAGCTCTAACCTTGCAAACCGGGGTACTCTGAGGACTTTTAGATCTTTGAAGCAAGCACACAAAACCTACACAGCAGCTGGATCCGACATCAAGAAAGCAATTGTTTGGAAACGTAATTCATGACCCTATTCTCTCACTTGATAACAATGCACTTGTGCTTGATCTCATTCCACCAATGGAGCTTCATCTACTGCTTGGGGTTGTTAACCATCTGTTCAAGATTTTAACAGACCTTTGGCCTGAATCAGCTGAATGGCTACAAGCTTTGCACATTCAGTCCCAACCTTTTCATGGTAGTCAATTTGCTGGGAATGATTGCCACAAGCTCCTCAAAAATTTCAACATTCTCCAAACACTGGCTGAAAATGACTGTGCCTTTCAAGTTTTCAGGATCATTGACAGCTTTCGAAAGTTTAGTCCCATTGTTTCTGCAAGTTGGATTGCACTTATGCAGAAAAAATTGATTCATTCAGAGATTCATATTTGGCATTGCCAAGAGGAAGCATCACTCCAAAAGTACATGCAGTGTTTTTTCATGTTATAGACTTCATCCAAAAAACAAGGTCTCCTCTTGGAATCTACAGTGAGCAAGCAACAGAATCTATTCATCATTGTTTTCAGAACCATTGGCAACGATACAAACGACCTATCAGCCATCCAGATTATGGAAAAAGGCTAGAAATGTGCCTAGCTGATTTTAACAGCAAAAGTCTGTGAAAAGTTAGGAATTTGTAAAGAATTTTTTTTGTCAAGAATGTTGTTGCTTTAAATGTGGAATTTATTTTAATATTTCTTTTGTATTTACCTACATGATCTTTTACCTATTTGGATTACTACCAAACTATTAATGAAATTATTCTAAAGTTAACTTATTAGAAAAAACTTTCAGAAAAGCAATATTTTACCCAAGTGATCTTTAACCTATTTGGATTACTACCAATTTTATAACATAAAATCTTTCACATTTTCATATTTTTTGTTTCTTTATTAAGTTAAGTAGTTTTTATTATTTTCAAAGAGCTTTTTGAATGTTAAGATATGCTGTAAAAATGTAAAATTTCGAGAATGCTGTCATTTCATGAATATGTGCAAAATAAAAATTTTCAAAAGTAATTTTCTTTCTCGGACATATTAGGATGATTTGATTTTTTATATTTTTGGAATCCAGGAGCTTTCACAGGCATATTGTGGTTTCTTTGGAATTTGATTTGACACTAATTGCTCATTTAGGAGAACGGTGATATATATATATATATATATATATATATATATATATATATATATATATATATATATATATATATATATATATATATATATATATATATATATATATATATATATATATAGGCTTTGAATGGCTAATGAACTTTAATTCAGATAAGACTTAATAGTTTTTAGCTAATCGTTATCACAATAATGGAGATCTTTCTATTTTTATGAACGGTAATATACTTGATGAATCATCTACACTTTGGCTCCTAGAATTAACTCTTACCTCTGATCATTCTCAGAAACCATATATCAAATCCATTTCAAAATAAAATAACATGCATCTCCTTATCAGGCTTGTCACATTCTTACTATTGATTCTGTCATACTTTTATGAAATAGTTGCCATATCTGGGGTGGATCTTCCAATGATGTTCTTTCTCTTTTTGATAAGGTGCATAATCGTAAACATAGCTGGACCTGTTCTTGCAGCCAATCTCCAAACATTGTCACATCTTAATGTTGCTTCTCTTTCTCTTTTCTACAAATACTATGATGGCCCTAGTGTCTCTTGTGCCATCTACTAAAATTCATTCTCATGAATTTATGCGTCAAAGTCTCATCCCTTTACTGTGACTGTTCTTAAGTTTATTAAGTTACCCCAAACTTAATAAAGAGAAAGAGATTGATCGCAAATTGAACTTTATTGATATTATTATTAACTCTGTAAATTATAAATTTAATACTTCAAAATTTTTCAAAAAAAAATACACAGTTTTACAAACTAATTTTAAAAGCTTCACTAATATTAATTATGAACAAGGATTCATTAAAACTCTGATCAATAGGGCCTTCAAAAAACAGCAAGTTTTCATCTAGAAATTGTAAAAATTAAATAAACTCTCCAAAAAAACTCTTTTGCCTTCAACTTAATTGACAAAACCTTCAAAAATTGACTAAACAATCTTATCTCTCCTAAAGAAAACATGTCATCTCCAAAACCATCTGATATACATTACTTTAAACTCCCTTATATTGGAAAATTTTCAAATACATTTTAACATCAATTAATTAAATACATTTAAAATATTGTAAAGATAATATAAAAGCAAGACTAGTTTTTACAACTTTTAAAATAAGTAGTATGATTTCATCAAAGACCCCAAATTTAAAAACCTTTGTTGTCTATAAATTTGTTTGCTCCAGCTGTAATGCTGGATATATTGGTGAAAACACCAGACACTACACAACAACGGTTTCAGAACATTTAAATTTAGATCAGGCATCCTATATTTACAAACATCTTACTTCAACGCAAAAATACAAAAACTCAACTGACTCTTTTTCTATTATTGTCAGAGTTTCTTCATGGTAATTACTTATCTTATAAAAAGTAATTATGGTAACAATTGTAAAAATATTAAATTTTTAATGCAGCCAAATAAATTGTTTATATATAGAAATTGTAATTTTTTTTACCTGATGATATCAATTGATGTTGATAAAAGATGCTGTTAAAAAAATTTTTTTTTAAATTGTTATTCATTTAAAAATTATATAAATATATGTATATATATATATATGTATATATATATATATATATATATATATATATATATATATATATATATATAATATATATATATATATATATATATATATATATATATATATATATATATATATATATATATAACTATTGTTATTATATTGTTAAGAATTATGTATATGAAAGAAACACTAACCTTTAAGAACTATTACATCCATGAATTAATACAATAACCCACTGTAAAATCAATAAAGTTAACAAAATAAAGACCACGTAATAAAGCAATTTTAAGTAACAAACTATAATATATGGCACGTGTGTTGTGTTGTTATTAATATTGCTCCGCAAATTTTTTTAAATGTTGTTCGGCAAAATACGCAAGTGAAAATTAATCGTTCCGAATGGGATATGATCTAAACACAACCCGAGGATTATCGGAAGTAGAAGGGAAACTATTAGCAAATATTTTACAGAATACAGAACCATAACTAAGATTGAACGATTGACGTAACCATGAGCAACCATAACCATTTCAACGGTAGACTTTAACTGGAAGAATTATATTAAGATTAAGTAGATATTGCCGCAACTTTTCAAGTAAAAGTTTAACTGTAATATTTGATATATGTTTTAACACTATATACACTTTCGTTCACATTTTTTTCTAAAAAAAAGTGCTGTGACTCTTTCCCGTCATTTCCTCAAGAGTTACTACTACTATTTCCTCAAGAGTTACTACTACTATTAAGTTCAGCATTATTATATAGATTTTTACTTATTTTTACTCAAATGAAT